GGGAGGGGGGGCCGGCGCGGGCGGTGCGCGCCAAAATGGAGGCGGTGCCAAAGATGGCGGCGCCTGGGCGCGCGGGAGGCCCCGCAACGGGCGGGCGGGGGTTCGCGTGGAGGCTCTGAGCGCGCGTCCCGCCTGCGGGACCCGAGCCGCTAACGGCCGCTGTCTCCCGCCAGAGACCAAGGTGTACGTGGGCAACCTGGGCACAGGCGCCGGGAAGGGCGAGCTGGAGAGAGCCTTCAGCTACTACGGGCCGCTGCGCACCGTGTGGATCGCCCGAAACCCGCCGGGCTTTGCCTTCGTGGAGTTCGAAGACCCCCGAGACGCTGAGGATGCTGTTCGTGGACTAGACGGAAAGTAGGTGGTGTTTTTCTTTTGGCTTTTTATTTATTTATTTTTAACAAGTTGCTGGCTCAGTATTTGAGATTTGTCTTCAGTTAGGGTGTCTCTGATGGGGATTTAACAAGGGATAAATATACTGGTTTCCCTTGCTTTTTGTGGGTTCCTTTTGTGTGAATTTGTTCTCATGTCACGACCCTTTGTATACCAAAAATGTGTTGTATGTGCGGTAAATTCCCTCTTATGCGAGCGGTGTGGTAGACACCCACAGTCAGCTGCTTTGTGAGGTGCATTGGGGGTGATAATCACCAAAATATAGTCTCCTGTGTGGATCTGTGCTCCTTGCTCGTCGTCTGCAACACGTGTTTCTGTAGTTTCCTTCCCCATTATGGTAGTGCCCTGTGCTTGTGTGTACTGTATGCTTTTGGTGAGTACCAAAATTGTCGTGTAAAAGTGGTAGAAATGGGTCGGGGGGTCAGTACAGTTGAGGTCTTGGAACATATCCCTATTTGTTACATTGTAAAGTGGGATCTCTATTGTGAATTTGAGTTGCGTGCCATTTTTCAGAATCGGATGTACAACATAAAGCAAGGGAAACCTGTGTCACTTACCCAGTTTCACTTTCTCCATTGCAGGGTAATCTGCGGCTCCAGAGTTCGCGTAGAGCTGTCGACCGGCATGCCTCGTCGCTCCCGCTATGACAGACCTCCAGCCCGACGGCCGTTTGATCCTAACGACAGGTGTTACGAATGTGGGGAGAAGGGTCATTATGCGTATGACTGTCATCGTTACAGTCGTCGGAGGAGGAGCCGGTACGTACGTGACCGGAGTGGTTGGTTGGTTGGTTGGCTAGGCCTGTTACTCTGGTAGTTTTTGTTAGCACAGAAGAGATTGTTACGCCGGTTTTGGTTATGGTTAACGTTAATGTTATAACTAACTGTGCAGGCGTATGTTGCGATTTGTTGCTATTTCGTATGGACTGTCACTATCTTAATAATCAACCTGGTCAAAACCTTTCAGGTTTCTTCGTTTGAGTCAGTCGCCTTGATTCAGAATGTCACGAGCCTTAAGATTTCATGCTGAGGCGCCTTGCAAATCCGACACTTAAGATCCTCCTAGACCTTGAGGTGATCAGCATAAGAGGCCAGATCCCCTCGAGCCATCTACACCTAGCTTCACCTTATTCTTTAAGGGCAGAAAATTTGAGACGGTGACCGCCGTAACAGTAAATTTGGCTTTCAATTGGGGCCCCCCTCCGGTTTAGAAAGAGGAACACCAGATTGACCACATGCCCACCTAGAAAAATCTTCTTGCGTCAATCAAGCCTCACCCTGGCTCATTTGGCTGTCAGTTTGATCGTCGTTAGATTGAAGAGAACACCTAGATGCAGCGATCGGCTATAGATACTTCTAGATCGTCTAGATCTGCTAGACCTTGGGCCAAAGAGGGTCGACCTGCAAACTTGCAAGGTTTATTTTAAATACACATTACAGTGTTTTTTTTTTTTTAATTCTAATGTAATTCTGAAATGTAATTCAGCTTTTTTAACATTTTTCTAGGTAGTAAAAATTGCTCAAGACAAATAGGCCCTGAGTTTTTTCCAACTGGCAGACACTAGTTTTTTAGTTGTCTGACTTTGACGTCAGCCGAGGCTCGCTTGCACTAATTGCTGGGATGTTGTTCTGAAAACTTTTGTCTCTAACCTAAAACTAGGTCACGGTCTAGATCCCATTCAAGATCCAGAGGAAGAAGGTATTCTCGCTCACGCAGCCGAAGTCGTGGGAGACGGTAAACCGCAAACTATCTTATGCTTTCATTTAGGGAAATTGTCTAATGTGTTGTGTTAAAATAAAAAAAAAATTCTCTTTGCAGATCCAGGTCAGCTTCCCTTCGCCGATCACGGTCAATCTCTCCTCGTAGATCTAGATCAATCTCACCCCGCAGATCCCGGTCTGGTTCCCTAAAAAGATCAAGGTAATTACCAGATAATGTTTTCTTTCAAGGGGCCGGTTAAAAAAATTATACTTGAGGGATCACGTGGGGTGGGGGAAGGTAGTTTGGAGAGCAGATTCTGTGGAAAGATTGTGGCATTTTTGCAGTGCAGAACTGATGCACTCAAAGCTAAATTGAATAATATAAACTCTTGGGTACAGGGACAGGCAACCTAAATGATCAAGGTTATAGAATAGTTGCCATACTAGGTGAGACGAAGAAGGGTAAGACTCTTCAGTTTGGAAAGGAGGAAGAATGTAATAGAGATCTATAAAATGGAAGGGTGTGTGGACCAAGTGAACAGGGAACTATTTACCAAGTCATAGAATACTAGTTCTAGGGGCACTTGCTGAAAGTACATTTTTATGCAGTGCATAGTTAACTTGTGGCATTCGTTGTCACAGTAGGTAGCAGATAGCATAGCCAGGTTCAGAAAGGGGTTAAATTAATGGATGATAGTTCTGTTAATGGCTGTTGAACAGAATGGTTTCTCTAAACCAAAAAATACCAGTTAGGTTATTGAATAGGGGACAGTGGGTTTTCAAGTCATGGTCTACAGGCCCCTGGGGCTCTGCAGACTGTCGAAGAGGCCCACAAAAGATGACTGATCAATAAGAAGTATGTGAATACCCACACTTAAAATTCAAAGGGGTCTGCACTTCCTTGTGAAATTTTTTGGGTGCCTACAAGCGGCAAAAGGTTGAAAACCACTGGAATACAGGGGATAGATCCCTCTAGTGATGTCTTGTTTGATGTTCTCCCTCTAAAGCATCCAGCCCTGCCACTGTCAGACAGGATACTGAGCTAGATAGACTACTGGTCTGACCCAGTACGGCACCTCTTGTTTTCTTAATTTCCATTGAACAGAAGTTGTGAAGCTGATGTTTGGGGTTTGAAACTACAGTTTTAAAGCTGCAGTCTTTCTGTAGAATATTAGTGTTATTTCCACATCATAATGTTCAAACTAAAAAGGACTGCTTTTAAACACTATTACTATTTTCTTCTCGGAGTGGATTGGTTTTCATTCATTTTTCTTTTAAATTGAGGTCTAGATCGAGGTCAAGGTCCAGATCCCGGTCTGTTACATGGCCAAGAAGCAGGTAAGATCTTTGCCACAATTGGTCATAGAATGATTAAGGAAATTTAAGGGTTCATCTAGTCTAATGCTGTGCAGAAATGCACTTGCTCCTAAGCCATCTTCAAAAGCCTTAAAAAGTCTTTTAAAAACCTTTTAAGGAAGAGAATTGATGAGTTCCCTGGCCTTTGTGCTCCATTATAGTTCTTATATTTAGGAATTGATTAGGAAGTAGGTGGGGAAGAAAGAGCGGTGACGACGACAAGAAAGATGGAGCTCTTTGAGGAGAACTTAAGGAAGAAAAACATCAACTGGGCATTGGAGTTGGGAGAAAGAAATGAGAATTTGCTCCATGTGGGGAACTATGGAGCAAAGCCTTTTGCTGCCAATATCTTATTTTTACGTCATGAGTGCTCCATTGAGCCTTAATAGTTTTCCCCAATTTAACTTTAGCATTTTTATTCCCCCTGTACATGGTAAAAGATAACTAGTGTTAACTGCAATATTCCAAGTGAGGTAGATTCTGTTGCATACTCTTGCATATCAGCTGTTCACTTTTAGCAGTTAGGACTGTTTTCAGAGTCCGATATTTTTGGTTCTTACATGTTATAAAATCCCAGTATTCAGACTTTAAGATGCATGCTTGTGGAAGACTTTCACTGAAAGTATGAAGTTTAAGCAGTTGTTGTAGTAAAGAAAACATCAGAGTTGGCATTAGTCAAAAGCAGCCAAGAACTGGTTTTGTTTAGCATGTTTGATTTCTAAAATAGTCACTTAGTGGTCAGAGAATTTCATGACTTCACAGCAGAACAAAGGAAATGTGTGCACAGAGCTACTATAGTTTCAGAACCAGTTAAATGTTCTCAGCTTTAAGTTAACATCAAACATACAGTCATACAGCATGGAAAATCTAGTGCCTTACTTACAAAACAGCTACCATCAGAGATAATCTTGTGCTAAGGCCTTTCATTGGGAACGTTCTCTGGAGAAAGTGGTACACCTGGCTTCTGTACTGTAGAAATTATTAGGTTGAATTGCACATTATATGGGGGGTTGGAGGGGGGTTGTAAGCCAGACAAGATCCTCACATATATTTATTATGTGACTAATATATGTTCCTAAGGATAGCTGCTACTTGAAGATGAGTATCACAAGAGTTGAAATACAGAAACTGACGCTGGGCAATGATACTAGTAAATTCTTTTTGTGCAATGGTCCAGGTACTTTGGGGGGAAGATTGCAGATTTCAACGATTGGGACATGACTTCATTTAACATATAAAGCATAGCTAAAATTGTGCTTTAGGTGGTTGTGTGGATGGTGCTTTGGCTTTGTTTTTGAGACTTTTACACAAGCGAGTTGGCTAGCATTTGGTGCACACAAGCTAGTCAGCAGGGCTGATTGATTGATTTTTTGCATTGTCTTTGTAATGTAGAGATGAAAAGAAATACAAGAATCAATATCGAGACTGCTAGAGCACAAGGGTCCTGTGGCTACAGCCCAGTGGTTGAGTGACTTGTTGACAGGCCTGGATTGTTTCCTTAAGTTTGAAGTGTTACATAATGTTTCGCACCTTGCTATCCCCAAAGTTTATCAAAAACTGGAAATAGCCAAGGGAAGCCTTGGCTACTGGAAACCTAAAATAGCTTTGACTGAGAAACCTGTCTAAAAAAATTAAGCTATTGTCATGGATAGTGTTAGTAACATTGTTTTCCAGGGTAATCAATCCCTCTGAGAAAAAAACTGCAGTTTTCAACAGAGACATATATAGTTGAAGATTTAAGTGCCTGGTCCTTATTGACATGAGTCTTTTCAGGGGAGTACTGTTGCAAAAGTAACATTTGACTCTCCAGAAGGCGGCATACATTCATCTTGGTAAAAACTTTCAAGTTTGGAATATGGCAACCAATTGCTTTTTATGAATTACTAGTCAAAGCTTTGTTCAGTGTATTCCTGTGAATGTTCTCATGTATTGAGCATTAATCTAGAACAGAATAGTGAATGAAAACTACAATACTAAAAGAAAAAGGTGTCCTCTGAAATTTAGCAGGAAAAGCTCCACAAACTGATGGATTTTGACCTCTAGGTAACTTCACTTACATGCATGCCACTGGCTCCATTGCTGAGTTATATTTCTCTCCTATTGTAGGTCGGGGTCCCGTGGTAGATCTAAATCTGGCTCACCTGCTAAAAGGTGAGGGTGTAAAGCAGAAGCCTTCCGTAAATACTTAATTATTTAGTATTGCTTTGTTGCGATTCACAAAGCTCTTTGCTTGGATCAGTATGTCAATTTACATTTCAAAGGATTTCTTGTTGGTAGGATTTATTTATGGGAAATTCTTGTAGAATTAGGTATCCTTGGTCTTATCCAATACCATTGTGGCTCTATAATGATGGCTTTGCATGCATATAGGGGGTTACCCTATTCTTATTGTCTTTTCTTTTTCCTTTTTTGTGTTTTGCTTAAGCTTTTCGTAATTTTCCCACACAGTTCTTGTTTCATCTTGCTCACTTTTGCCACTTTCAAGATACTGCACCTGTTTCACAAAATTACTTTAACAATTTAGTGATGCTTTTAAAACATTTGAAGGGTTTCAGGTTAGTTTTTTTTCTTAGCTTTTCCAGCAATGTTGTTTTCTGATGTCTTCTGGTCTGAAGCTTGCTGCTCGGAATGAGTCTTTGTGATAAATTGCGGATACTTATCTTCAGTGCTAGTAGGGTTGGTGGGGATTAGTTTAAATCTGCACACATTCTTTGCAAAGGATTCTGGCTAAATTGTAAGCAATAATTAATCTTAAGTGCAGTCCAGGGCTTGGAGATTTGTACTGTCTTGTCTGGAAATTAAAACATCATTTTAAGTTTTATTGGTTAAATTTTATTCTTCCCATTTTGACAGCCGATCAAAATCCAGATCACCATCTCCAAAGAGAAGGTAAGTTGACTAATGTAGACAGGGCTAACACTGGAGTGTGTTCATTCATTTATACTCAAGTCAGAGTTTTATCAACACTGAAGCTATTAACAGGCTTTTCCCTGTATTTCTATTCCAAATTTAAAGCATAACCTTTGATGCTTGGAGTTATAGACTGGTCTTTTAAACGCATGGTAGTGTTTAGATTATGAAAGCATGGGGCTAGATATAAAGCTGCATGAAAATGATACAGGACATGCTTTGATCATCTTGCCTCTGGCTACTGCTGAATTACTTCACTTCTTTCATAGAATCAAAGGACTGGAGGGGGTCTGTAATATTGAGTCTGGTTATTGGAGAGTTCATATGTGAGCACATAAGCTTAAAGCAGAGAATACATTTATGGATGAATAGTGTGAAAGCTTACCTTAGAAAGTTGAGGTAGTGACTCCAGTGACTTGTAACTAATTTTTATTCAGAAGGAACAAGTCTATGAACCTTGGATTCTAATTAATCCTTTATAGTCATCCTGAATCCAGTTTATCAAAAGCATTTTTAAATAAAGTGGGAGGATCTGAATAGGAAATATGTAAATGGCTTTGAATAAAACCAGAAAAGAACTTCATACTTAATGTAGAAAGTGGACTGAAGGCATTTTGTAACATAGCTATCTGTTTGAATTGAGTCATATTGGTGTAATCTTTTGCTGGCTGTAGCAGCTCTATTTTTTATTGTTGATGTGATAAAAGCAAGATGAAGTTCTCAGTGCTTTTTGTAATCCAGATGAGTATTTGTCAGACCTGCATATTTTGGCATAATCATTAGCCTTCCTTTTCCAGTTTTAGTCAAAGCGGTTTTAAGTAGTTTCCATTAATCTGAATTTAAGAATCTTCCTCAGGACATCTGGAGGCATGTTTGTTAAGATGGGTAAAAATCTTCTGTGGAAAGGAAATGTATGGGAACTGGCATAGGTAATAACTTTCACACTGATGCTCACTTCTTAAGAAGTTTCACCCTCAGTGAGATCTCTTCTACTTCTGAGAATCTTTCAAACATCACTGCACGTTTTTGTGATGGCCTTGCTTCCAAATCAATACTGGGGAGTTACTCTTGCTAATTTCTGTTTCTTTCACTTTCAGCCGTTCACCATCAGGAACCCCTCGAAGGAGTGCAAGTCCGGAAAGGATCGATTAAAATTACAAAATTAACCCTTTAGGAAAAAGATATTTTGTTTACATTATAAGGGATTTTGTGGTGTCTTTTGATGTAAATGTAAGGATTTAGCTAGAAAGATATATCAGTCAGTTGGCAATTGACATGAATCTGGATCTTTTAAACATCAGTAGACTAGTGCACAGCTTTTCTTGTACGTATTAACATCCTGTGATCTGGAAACGTGGGACTTTTTTATTGGCACATTGAAATAAAATGTATTTCTAACGAAAAATCTTTTTGTGGTAAACCTACTACTTCTGTTACAACTTGGTTATCTTAAGTTGTGTGCCACTGAAGTTGATGTGCAGAACATTAGACTTCTAAAAATGGTGATAATATTGGTGTAACCCCAAGGAATCAGTCATTGCCTTCCTGTTTGTTTTTGGATAGTCCCTGGTGGTCTGGACTTCCTGTTTCTGCTTCCATTTTAAGATACACAAAGAGATGAAATTTTAAGTTATCTATAAATGGTTTCTGTGAAAGGTATTTGTGCCCTTCTTTTGCTTTATGGTATCTAAAAGTGATCTGCAAGAGGCCTATTTTTTCCACTTGATTTTTACTTAAAATTTTTATTCAAGACCAATGATGTACCAGATATCTTGGTCTTAGTTGAAGGTGCAGAGGTCTTTACTCAAAAAGTTAAATTGTTGGAAGTTAAATGAGTATCAGTAAAAAGGTCTGTAATACATACTGAAAATCTGTAACAGCTCAGTCACCATTGCTTTTCATTGTATTTCATCTGGCTTTTCAGTCATACACTGTAAAGAGAAATGTGTATTTCTTAACTTATGAAGAAGAAAACCAATGGCATAAGCACAACACTTCGTTATTTAAAAGTGATCTATGACACACATTCAGGGAAATTAGTGCAACAATATTGTGGCATTTTTCTCTCCTACGGCTTACTCAGTTTTTCCCCTTAGACCGAGGTGTCAAACTTCAGGCCTGCAGGCAGGATCTGGCCTGCAGAGCCCTGTTGTGTGGCTAGTAGAAGAGCAGGGAATTTGGGGGTGGGACCCATTGCCTAAATCTGGTGTGAGCCCTGCTGGGTATGTGTTGGCAGTGGGGGGGGCAAGCGACTGCTGCATTAGCCACTGCTACTTGCTACTTCATCTAGATCTTGATTGCAAGGAACCCTCCAGTCCAGATCCAGCCTGCAGGGGTGAGGTGAGTTTGACGCCCCTACCTTAAACAAACTGAGCTGCTATAATTACTCTCAAATGCTGCAATCACAAAACAGCCTTTTTGCTGACGATTAAAAATAAAATTGTCTAGGTAGTGATGGACTAATTTCTAGCACACAGCAGATGGAATATTAAACAACTTAATGAATTGTGAGCAAGTATGCCAAACCCTGTAAGCAAACTTGACTATAATTAACTGGGAGTTGCAAAGTATGGTACTTCCTGTTGAAACTGACTGTGGCTGCGTATAGGCTTGATTAACGAGGACACTGTTGGATTGCCAGCATCCTTTCTGACAAAAATACAAGCACGTTAATATTCTGGGATATTTTGCTGTCACTTTCAATAGTAAAAATCTATTGGGGTTTCCCAAAAAGGATTTAAGTTTGAAAGGGTAGATTTCTGTTTGGGCTTCTACTGAACCAGTTAATGGCAGATCACACCTTTTAAAAAGTGCAAACTTTAAAATTCCCTTCATGGACATTAAGACTAAGCTTGGGTAACCCACAATTTTCAGATAACAGACTTTTCATTTAATATTACATTTGCCACCCAGTAGACTCGAGTGACACTTTGAAAAGGTCTGGCTAATGTCAAGTCTTAAATCTACCAGTCACTTTCGTAGATTTTCTCTTTTTTTTTTCTTGTGTAAAGTTATGTGCATATACAGTGCATTAGTGCTTAGCAATGGGAACTGATGCTCCAGGTCCAAATTCTGCTGTGTTTTAACATTCTGGTAATATCCATATAATGATTGTAAACTGCAAAATGGGAGCAGGAGGTGACAACATTGTATGATTTTCCCTAAACGATTAGCAAAAATACCCAGAAAGCTGTTTCTTATGACATTCATTTGTATGGAGTATTGACTATCCATTGCCTGGCAGTTTTACAGTAAAAGTACCACACAGGTGGTCTTGAATTTGATCAGCTTTTTCTCTTATCTTTCTGTACTGTTACGGCAAGCCTACTCCACAATAAACCTGCAGACTAAAACCACTCTACTGGTACCTCTCTTCTTCAAGACTCTTTCCACCCTTTAAAGCAAGGACTCAATTGCTCTTTCTTAGTTGACAGTCTACTCTGATCACTGAAATACAGTTTCACCAAAAGTAGGTGCTTTGGGGTGCAGGAATATACCAAGTAGAGGTAGTGTTAATTTGCAGTTCCCTGTATGGGGTGATTACACTACTGTCTGAACTGGGCAGTCCAGACTGCAAAGGAGCTGCTAGCAGCATTAGTACTTGCTAATGCTGCTGCTTGCCACTGGGGTGAATCTCGCCCTGGTGTGTAGGGGTTATTGCTGTCTGTGTCCACTTTCCACCACCAGGACTAGGTTCAATTCTATTGGAACATGTAATAGTGCAGTTCATCTTTCTTTCACAGAGTAGGTCTACATTTCAATGTATCATGATACCTTGGTCCATAGCCTTGCAAGTTTTGAGGCAAAAGCATTCCTTGGCCATGTTGTCTAACATGGAAAGCCCTACCTGCATCCACACTGCTTATTGGTCCTTTCTTTTGGTACTTAGATTTCTAAACACAATCCAGTGCAGTCCTAAAGGCTGCTCTAGTATAACTTCTCCCTTAATAACTTGGGGTGGCTGTTGATCTCGTTCCACCGCTGTATGTAGTTAGCCCAGCTTTGCTGCCCAGTTTGGAGCAGTGGTCAGAACCATAGATCTGTGTATGGATATCCTTGTATCTGGCCAAATAACAGCATGGTAGTAGTTTGGATGCACTTAAAGGACTTGGGGATTATAAGAATCATGAAATCGGAAAAGTATGACTCCTGTTCCAGGCAGGGTCAGTCCAATCTAAACCATCCCAAGTGTTTGTCTAACTTGTTCTTAAACTTTGAAGGATGCAAAATCCAGCATCTCTTGTAATTTTCTAGTGCTTAACTGCCATCATACTTGGAAAGTTACTCCAACCTAAATTTCCCTTTTAATTTGAGCAGTGTTATTTCTTATTCTGTCCCATGTGGATATTATCACCATATTCTTTATAAACAAGACTATTACCAAGTCCTCTATTGGTCTTTTGTTCCCCAGGCTCAATAACAGTTCTTCCAGCCTTTCTTTCTATGTTGTGTTTCTTAGGCCCCTGTTCATTTTTGTTGCTCTTTGCTGTGCTTTTTCCAGTTTCTCTACATGTTTCTTGAAGTATGATGCCTAAGGCTGGATACAGTAGTCCAGGTGAGGCCTCTTAGTGCAAGGGTGTTATGGATGGCTGAAATATACAAGACTGATTTGGAAGATCTGATGAATACTGTAGTTGTCACCTGATTCTCATGTGTATGCTGCTCTTTCAAGAACAGAAGAACTACTGTGTGGTGGGCTTATCTCACATTTATGACTAGCAAGGGCTTCAGAACTTCTTTGTGACTTAAGAATTTGCCCCATCTTACTAGCACCATGGTATGGGGTTGAGGGAGTATATGGTAGTGTAAAGAGGTAGCTGCTATCACTATCTGAAATGGGTAACTAGACAATTGAAGAAGATCTGTGGCTAGCCAATTTGGTATTGGCAAGTTGGCCATTAGAGCTACTGGTGATAAGGGATTACAGTGTTAAATTATTTACTTTTGTTGTGGGTATACAGAATGTGCCTGAAGTAGCAGCTTCCAGAGAACAGGGCATGCTCATGGGTATGTCCAAGATTTTGAAAAGGCAGCATGGTGTGCATCATTACATATAACAACACATTTTTCTCTAGATAAAGAAGAAATCAGAAGCTTTGCTAAAATGCTGTGGGCCTAGGGCTTTATTATTCAGTTTAACATTGAATCAAAATAATTGGAATGTGTATGCATTTGCTGTATCATATATATATAAAAAATGCAACAAACTAGGCAAAAATATTTCAAATATGTTGTTTCCATAGACCTGTTGTCTTCAGAATTAAATCTACATCTCTATTAGATTCATAAAACAAAATCTAGCTTGCTTGATATGTTGACAGTGCAATGTTTCACTGAAAGTTATTTCCAGAACTGAGTTTGATGTTCACCTGAGTTTGTTTCCACACCTGCGTTCATGTTTTTAGCTTAGAGTTAAAAACAGTCTGGAGGGCTGTGAAATAGCTGCTTCTGATAATGTAGGTTCTAACAGGCAACAGAATCGCAGAAGAAACCGTTAGGAGAGAGACATTAACATCTGTAGAATGAAGGAATTGGGTAAATTACAATAAGCCATGAAGTCAAGTGACTCCCTCACTGCTGCCCGAATAGAATTGCTGCTTCCACTGTCAGGCTGTTGGTTTTAAACTTTGGGTGCAGCAGGAATCCACTGGTGTGTGCGACTGCAGCACTCCACCTGCTTTGGATCTGCCCCTGGAAATGCCCAAACTGCAATAGGGGCTTTCATTCGTTTGTCTTTATTTTGCCCCCACCCTCAAAGAACCAGTGAATATCTGAAATGCTAAAGTGTGCTACTCGTTTCAAGGGGTTGTTGGGCCAGAAGGGCATGTTCACAAGCACCACTGAGCACTGGTACAGTGCATGATGGCAGGACTTTGGAAAGGTCTGGCATTTACTAGGGCTGTGCAAGGCTTTGGACCATGCTTTAGTGTCTGAAGCAGCATGTCCTGATTGAAGCACTGACTTCGTTAGGCTTTCCGAAGAGGTTCAGAGCTTTTGAAGCACTTGGGAAAAGCTTTGGAGCCGCTTCAGAGATCCACCCATAGGGTATAATGGGGAATTAATGAAATATCTATAACGTTGCTTTTTGTGTGATTTGGATTAAATTTGCAGGGCTGGTAGCCTGTGCTGAGAGCATGAAACCTGCCAAGTTTCAAGAAGATCAGTGCAGGGGTTCAGGGGGAACTGTACCCCAAATTCTTGAAAGCAAACTTGTCATGTCTGTGTTATAATGCAGGGGGGTGAAAACTGCAGGGGAAGTGGCCCCTGCTGAGGCCACAAAGCCTGCCAAGTTTCAAGGTGATAGGTGCAGGAGTTTGGGGGGAACTGTACTTCAAGCTGCTGACAAGCAAAGCCTGTGACATACAAGTCCCTGTTCCCCTGAGAACTGCCAGGAGTGACCAGGAATAATGGTCTCAAGCTGGCAGAAGGGTACATTTAGGCTAGATATTAGGAGGCGCTACTTCATGGTCAGAGCAGCTAGGAACTGGATCCAACTTCCAAGAGAAGTGGTGCTGGCTCCTACCCTGGGGGTTTTTAAGAGGAGGCTAGATGAATACCTTGCTGGGTATTGACCCCAGTACTCTTCCCTGCCATGGCAGGGGGTTGGACTACATGATCTACTCAGGTCTCTTCTGACCCTAGAAACTATGAAACACTGACCATGCGTGTGTTAAGGCGCAGTGGACTGAAAACTGCAGGGGTAGTGGCCCCTGCTGTGGCCACAAAACCTGCCAGCTGTTGAGGAGATAGGTGCAGGGGGGTTCTGGGGCCCTGCACCTCTGGCTGCTGACAGGCAAAACTCATGACATGGGTGCTTGTGCAAGTGTGTCTGTCTTGCAGGGCGGGGGAACTACTGCAGGCCTGGCTGCTAAGTTACTGTATTCCCAGTTACCAATCAATCATGATTCACTCAGGGACCAGGTCAATACACAGTTGCTAGCTAATGTAACCAGTTAATTAGCAACAGTTAACACCTACAAAACCACAGACTAAGAGGAAAGAATCAATACAATCAACTACCCCAAGACCGTCAGTTGCACAAGCACACGGCATGAATTTTGTCTGTCAACAGCTAGAGGTGCAGGGCCCCAGAACCCCCCTGCACCGATCTCCTTTACAGTTGGCAGGCTTTGTGGCCTCAGCAGGGGCTACCATCCCTGCAGCTTTCACCCTGCTGCACCTTAAACACTGTTATCCATGTCACAAGTTTTGCTTGTCTGCAGCTTGAGGTGCAGTTTCCCCCAAACCCCTGCATAAATCTTGAAACTTGGCAGGCTTCATGGCCTCACCAGGAGCTACCACCTCTGCAGTTTTCACCCCCCCTTGACATGTGACATGAATTTTGCTTTCAAGAATTTGGGGTACAGTTCCCCCCAAACCCCTGCACTCATCTTGAAACTTGACAGGTACCATGCTCTCAGCAGAGGCTATCACCCCTGCAAGTTTCATCAAAATCAGACAAAAAACAAAGTTACAGATGTTTCATTGATTCCCCATTATACCCTATGACCGGATCTCCGAGGTGGCTCCAAAGCTTCGGAGCTGCTTTGGCCAGATCAAAGCGGGAACCCGGTCTGGAGTTCCAGATTCAGATCCCTGGCATCAAAAGCAGCCAGATCAAATAGCTGTCTACTCCCACAGGCCTAGCATTTACCTGCTTGGACAACTGGAACTTTATTCCCTTCCAAATTATGTCCTTATAACAGGTTATGATTGTGATCTCCTGCATGGTGCACAACAGCTACAAAGGCAGGGGAACACTTTCTAATAGAGTGGACTTAGAACACCAAGAGACTCTTTAATCCAAAGGTGTCAAACTCACCTTGGGCCCCAGGTCAGATGCAGACTGGGGGGCTCCTTGTGGGCCAAATCAAACCCAGGGACAAAGGCTGCTGCAGTGGCAACTATGATGGTGGTGGCACAGGCAGAAGCAGCAGTGCAGCAATGGGGGTGCATGGCTTGGCAGGCATGAGAGACAGGGTCTGGTGATGACAGGTTTTGGCAGGGGTGGTGCAGGAGGTGGTGGGGGAAT